GAAAATTAACTCTATCCCAGCCGAAACCAGGACAGGTATCAAAATCCAAAATGGAGTAACAGTTGAGAAAAATACTAATTAAATCTGGGAAGTGGGTGCTGTCACAGATTCACTGCTAAGTCACAGGCCCCTAGCAGAAAAATAAGTATAACAATGGAATTAAGCTCTAATTCAGATGCAGTCAACACATTTCTTTTGATTTATATGACAATGAGTGCTACTTCCTGTATTGTAGTCAAATGAAAAGGATTTATTCAGTCAATTATCAAGGGTGAAACACCAATGAACTATGATGAAATAAATGGAAAATTTCATATTCAAATGACACAGATCTGCATATTTCTTAGGACTGCTTATATTTGCTTCATATGGACACTAGAAGTCCTGATTTCAGTACAGTCATACATTCCTGGATGTAAGGAAGCTCAAAGAAGTCACCTAGAGGGATGGATTTGCTTTGTTTTGCCTAACAGTATTTCTGTGGTTTTCACAGTGAGAAGTCATGAGACAGTAGAAAATGCATGTTGCTAAAACTATTTCAGAGACTTTGGTAAATATTCCCTTTCTTTGGAAACTAGACATGTACATCCTTTCCTCATTAGTACATGTAGGATGTTTCTGGATTTACACCATGATATTTAAAGGGCAAGTGCCTCAGGTTTTAATGGGACAGACTCACTAACTAGCATAAAGATTTCAGCATCATTAACAGTAACAACAGTTTCATCCACTTGTGTCAGATCTGAGTCTTACTTCCTCTGAATCTTTCTGAATAAAGTGGTCTGATGATTTTTTAATAAAATGATAAAATTTCTGATCTGAATCTTATTTCTTCTGGAATAACAACAGAAACTAGTAGAGTCTGTATCTACTAAATCGTACAATATTCTACATGTTTAGATTTCCCATTCATTGTAGGGAGTTAAGAATCAGGATCCATTGAACTGATCAAAGGAAGACATTTTTTGTAAATCACAGAAGAGTAATCTAGGTGTCTCCTTTTCCAGTTTTGAGTTTTAATGGTGGCAACTCTAAAGCTTTTGGAAATGGTATAAGATTACAATAGATACTTTCAAGCCCTCGTGACACAAGTGGTTGATTACGTTAGCTGAAACAGAGTATCTCATCCATTATAGAAAGAACAGTAGCATTTTGCTGCTGAAAAGCTTATTAATGTATTGAGTTATTTTGTTTTTTCTTTTCCCAGTGTTTGGCATCCTTAAGCACTGTGGACTTTTCGAACAGTTTAGAAATGGAATTACCTTCAACAAGGTTATCTAGCTCGGCTGATCCACAGATGCAAGGTGCAGCTGCTGTAACGCTTGACCCATCCCCGAACGCCCTTTGTGAGTGTGATACTCCACCCGAGTCAGTGCCCAGCTACAGCTTGGTGTTGGGTAGGGCTCCAAGCGACCTGAGCCCTGGGGCTGCCTCTGGCCTCGCATCAAGTGATGCACTCCAGAGCAGCACTAAGTGCAAGGTAGGAATCGCTCAAACTACTCTACTGAAAAGGAATCCACTTACATTGATAGCACATGTTATTGTTAGTCAGTCAGTCAATCAAATGCAGCTATTTCAGTAAGTAAAGCTTTCCTTATCTGGTATTTGAAGACCGATTACAAATTATTTTGTTAAGATGGAAAGAAAGAAAACTAATAATAAAATTTGATTTTTTTTTTTTTTTTCCCCCTCCTGAAGCTGGAAAGTGAAGACTTCAGTACTGTAGATGATCCTCTAGAAAACAGCTTGGCTACTGCTGGGCAAGATGTAGTTAATCAATTAACTCTTTCTATGCACAAAGTGATGGAAGAACCTATTAATCTTTCGATCAAGAAATCACAACACTGCACTTCTTCTGAACTGCTCAGCAACACTTCTTTCCTGCCTGTGAATGCCAGAATGAGACAACTTAGAAGCAAGGAAGGTACCAGGCTGTTCATTATTTCATTTAGGTTTCTGGTCTTTCTTTCTTAGCACTGTGCATTGCAAGCATTGCAAAGTAGTATGCTTGTTAACATACTTACATATAAATGTGCTTTTCCAGCAAGCTTAAAATATTATCAGAGTACGTAATCCAATGGAAAAGCATGTTTGATCTCATTTGTGGAGGAAAAACATGGAAATTATATGCCTTGAATTTGTAACATCCTTCATCTATGAACCAGAAACAAGTGTGTCTGTGTGAAGTACCTGGAGTATTAGTTCTCTTAGAAGCACTTCTGTTAATGAGACCTGCAGTTATGACTATTGAAGAGCTGGTTTGAAGAGTCCAAATTCAATTAAAAAAAAATTACTTCCGAAACGTAATGTGCCTTCTGCTAAGTCCTTCACATAAGTAGCATAGCAAATTTTTGTTAGGTTAATATATTGCACAGTATGTGCTTTTGCTTGGCTGTCTACTGTGGAACATTCCCTTCAGCCAAGGCCTATTTCTTCAGCCTTAATGGAGAATTAGACCTTACTTAACTCTTTTATGGGCAAATTGCCAGCATCCTTGTGCTACCCTGTAAAGCCTCATTCCTGCAAACTCTAGTAGTCAATGGGACTATTCATGCAAGCAAGGGATTGCAGGATCAAGCTGTTATCCTGTGATTTATGACAATATTTGGCTGCTTTTCTCTGTAAAAGATGAATTAGAATTTCTGTCTCTGTGCTGTATTTTTAGTCAGAGAATTCTAATTAGTACAAAGGAGGCCTAGCTCAGTGAGCCAAGAAAATGTATTTGTCTTCTCTCTTATATGTACTATGCCAAATGGTGACAATTATGCCACAATCATTTGTGTGAGTTGTAAGAATCAGGCGCACCTCTAAAAAGCTGTGCCTCAGTCAGGCTTAAGTGTCTCTGAGAGGAGCAGCTTTGTAGTATCTGATTTGGGTCATGTGACACTACACACAGAAAGCAACCCCAACATATGGAATCTCACTGTAACAGATGCTACAAATTTGCTCTGTGCAAAGCACAGGTCCTGTTGTGCAAGGATGGAAAGACTAAAGCTGCTCCCTTTTCACAAGGAAGGATCAGGAGTGAGCAATTCCCATCCTGCTCTCACTGTTTGGAGGTGTGCAGTCAGGGGAGACCTGAGGAGATACAGTCACTGTATGCAGTGTGCACCAGTGAGAGAGATTAACTCTGTTGCAAAGGCAACGTTATCTTTGCTAGTGGCTCTCAGTGGGACTTACTGGCTCCAGCAGTGCTGTGCTGCCAAACCCCACTGCTTCTGGTATATATCTCCAACGACTCATCCTTTTCTAATATCAAATCTAAACATTTCAGCTTAATTTACAACAAAATACTTCTTATCCTAGCCCCAAGGGATGTGGTAAAAATTGTACATCAACATTTTCCCTCTTACAGCCACTTTTGTTCTTATCGTGGCTTGCGTAAACACCCTCCCCTCCCCTTCTCTTTCCTAGACTAAACAAATCTGATGGTTTCAGTCTCTCCTCATGGGTCAGGGTTTGTGATATTTTTTCCTGCTGCACTATTCCAGGTTCTCTGCAATTAAGGAGTGCTGCCCACAGCCAAATGCAGTGCTGCAACTGAGGCCTCTGGGGTGCCTTACAGAGCCAGGGTATCAACTTCTTGTGTTTTACATTCCTCACCACTGGTTAATACACTGCAGGGTGGCATTTGCCTTTTTTACAGCAGCAGCATTACGTGGTTGACTCATGTGTATTGCATGTTCCACATTAACCCTTAGTTCCTTCTACATAACAATTCCCTAGTCAGTTATTTTCCTTCATGATTACATTCAGCTGATCCTTCATAAGCATAATACTTACAATTATTTCAATTCAGTCTTACTGATTTAGATTGTTTTTCTCTGCTGTATTAAGATAATTTTTTAATTGTAAACATTCTCCACAGTGTTTGCAAACCCTCTATTTTGGTGTTTTCCACAAATTTTATAGGTACTATTATTTCATGAGCCAAGTTGCTGATGGAAATGTTGATTAATATTAGGAACCCAGCACCACTGGAACATCCTCTGGTTTGACAGCATGCAACAAGAGCTGCTCCTTCAGCTCAGTGTGCAGTCACCCTTTAGTAATTCTGTCTAGAGCCATGGCTACCACCCTTCACCTGAGCAACAATCACAAGTGAATAACACTTTAGGAGTGACATGAAATGCACCTTTCGTTGTTGGTCTTGATTGTATTGTGTTTCCTGTGTCTGGGAACAACAGAGTATCTTAGAGGCACATTGCTTTCAAGCCATGGGTTAGGTACCATTGACCTGAGCTAGATTTTCTTTAAAAAAACATGTTTTCCTGGAACTCATCTCCAGATAGCCATGATATTTGGTTTGTTTTCTTGTTAGTGTTGTCTGTGTCAAACTAATTCCTAACAAAAGAAGGAGTTACTATGAAACTTGTCAGTGGACTGGTATTTATGAGGGCATCCACTGGGGCATTCATCTCTACCCCATCCCATCTCTCCAAAGTTGTTTTGTTACTCATGTGTATAGTATCAGTCAAGAGCTACAGTTACTTGCACGCTTATATAACAGATAGTTTTGAATTTGTATGTTCATAAGTTACATGCGTTGGAGGGTAGAAAGGAATCATACTGTGTAGCTTTCATCCCTCAGTGGCAGATGGGAGACACAATTTCCTTCCTGTTTTCAATTAACTAGAATTATCCAGAAGCTTCTTAGCATGGAGCAGGAGACTGCAGAGACTTTCTGAGCCTCAGGGCTTCAGACCTCAGTAGGTCTGTTTTTCTGAAGTGAAGGCTGTATAGCAAAGAGGATTACTTATGTTGTTCCATGTATATGGATGAATGTGGCATGGCTGTGTACATATATAATTCTCTGGGAATGTAACCATTTCGACAAAATATTTTGGAAAGGCTCCTCATAGTCAGTACAGAAGCTGTGGTTAAAAGCAGAGAGAAAGAAAAAGACTGTATCCCAGAATAGAAAATAGCATACACATTTTCTATACATATAGATGAAATGATTCCATAATTCACTTATGATATCATATTAAACACCAGTCAGAAGTACATGAATATTGAAGTACTTTCTATCCTAATCTGACTCTGATATTATAAATATTTTATTCGTTTTCTTATCTTCTGTTCCAGATTCCAATAACTGTGAAAAGGAACATTTTGAAATGGATATGAAAAGCAATCAGAATGTCAGGTAACAGAGTCTTTTTTTATACAAAAGTACTGGCCATGAAATTTTATGCATGTATTTAGAAAATTTGTCATACTTAATGATAACAGAGAACTTAAAAAGAATGCAAGATTCCTCATAGATAATAATTCTGGAAGTTGTAAAGTATTCTCTTAAACTTGAAAACAATGATTTAAAAGAAGTGGTGAGTTCATGTATTTTTGTCACTCTGCGTAATTTTCCAGAATGAATAAATATTTGCACACTTATCTCACTTGAACAACTAGAAACTGTTTCGCGCTGATTAAGCCTAAAAAATAGAATAGGAACAGGATTAACATTATCTCAACAATTTTATAAAATTCTGTTTTCAGCTACTGCTGTGATAATATTTTAAAGTAAAGCTGATGATGTGCTGTGTTCCTGGTTGAAGCCAGCTACACTGGAAAGTATCAAGCACAACTTAAATTGGAATAATTAAAACAAAAATATACAGAGCAGGGCAAAGTTTTAGCACAGAAGTTAGTAATGCATTTACACATATGATTAATTTAAAGTGATTGCATTCACGTTTCTTAAAGAATCGTCATGTGAAAAAAATGTCCAGATTTTCAGCGTTTAGCCAGCAGAGTCACAGTTACAAAGGAAAAGGAACACAGCCAATAGTGCGTGAAAAATGTTGAAACTGAGTAGGGAGGAGAATTTTGTGGAATATGATTGAATTTAACCATGTGTCATTTTGATTGTAGAGCTGGTCCTAAGGAGCAGAAGATCCCCTATGTGCGACTGGAACGTCTAAAAATATGTACTTCAGAAGCAGGAGAGCTGCCGGTGTTTAAGCTTCAGCCACAGGACAATGAGCAGGAGGGCAATTTCCTCCTGATAATTGAATGTGGGACCCAGTCTTCAAGTATGTCTATAAAGGTGAGTGGAATTTCCTTGAGGTTTTACCTGCTTTCTCCCATTTATCCCACTGGCTTGTACCCACAGTTTCTGAAAGTTATTATACACTAAACAAGTCTGTTGATTCATTTCACCCTTGGACACTTCTGTGATGAGTTGAAGTAATAGAGAATGCAGCTTTTAGTTGGCTGTGTAGCTCCCTGATACTTCCATTTCTGAGAAGTCTGTCTCTGGGATTTGATAGCTGTAGTGTTTTTGTATTCTAGCAAACAATCTGGCTTGTCTGTCTAGTTACAAATATGGGATAAATAGCTGAAAACTGACCCGAATGCATATTTGAGTGATAGGAACTGATTCCAGAAATCACAGTGTAATAGATTTTAAAAAGCTTTGTATTCTATTGCTTCATTGAAGTCTTGAGTGTGAACTTCTTTCCACAGAAGGAAATGGGAATTTACTTTTTTTTTTTTGAGATGTTTACTGTAAAATTTGCAAATCAGATTGTAAAGTATCCTGTTTCTATCGTCTGTGATATGAAATCTGTACAGCTCTCTCTCAGTGCTATTACATTGTGGTATGTGGAGGAAATGACTTGACCAAGGTGACCTGGCCAGCCAGTGGCAGATGTC